CCCATGGACTGCGCCGATCCGCAGCCCAAAAAAGGTAGGTACGCCGTAGCGCGGGGGTGGTGTGGTGACTGCCGCTTGGTCATGCATGGCCCACGGAGCGCGATTCTAGTGAGTGTTACGTGCGTATACTGTTTTTTGGCGGTCTCGATGTCCGTCTCCGATGTTGTTGCTATCGTTTTTACGTGTGTTGTCTCTCTCCATCTCGCTGCGTCCCCAACACTGCTCTCCTCGTGTGCCGCTCCTGGTTTCCTTAACCTATCCTTTTTTGTGTGTGTTCCCTATGGCGCCCATTCCCCTCCCCAATGCTGCCAAAGGTGCCCCGCTGCGCTGCGACCACAGTTCTACGCTAACGTCCTCCTTACGGGGGGGAACTGCGCCATCCCCAACCTGAGGGAGCGGCTTTACAGAGATCTACGGGCCTCTGCCCCTATTCACTGCGAGGTCAACGTCATCCTGCCGGAGGAGCCCATGCTGCACGCCTGGCGAGGTATGGAAACCTTTCCAAACGGTATCTATCTCGCCGATTGTTGCGCATATGCGGGAAGACCTGAACATTTTTTTTTTTTGGCGTTCGTGTGTAGTCGGTTCTTGTGTGCACGTGTAGCTTTCCGATCTCATTTTCTGTTGGTTTATGCGCGTGTTAACTCACACATACCTACGGTCATGAACCCGACGTTAGGCGGGTCGCTTTTCGGCGCCAGTCCGGAGTTTGGCAGCTTCGCCGTGAGCAAGCAAGAGTACGACGAGTTCGGACACCACATCTGCAAGATCAGATACGCCGACTGGTGATAGCGTCATGACCGCGTCGGTTCATGATGCGGCGGAACGACATTCATGTTCCCGTCGACATCTTGAGTGTTGCTTGTTGCCGATCGTCGTGATGGCGTGGAGATGCGCGTATAGTTTTCAACTTTAATTCGTTACCTGTTGACACAGGTCGACGATTGAAGTGCCGACAAGAGTTTCTGAAAATGCCCATGAGAGGTGCTGCTCCTGTGTGCTGCCACTGCTTGTGGCTGGTGCTGAGCGGAGCGGTTGGTTCCAAGAAGCACAATATATTTTCGAAGCTGGTGATGATGGCATTCCTGCCATTGGCTGTTAACGCCGTCCGTGCACGGGTTGTGTGTGTTGTTGGCTGTTTTTCAGGGACTCAAGTTTGGTGGGTGTGATTTGAAGGCGTGTGCGGTGGCACCAGTCACTGTGGTCCTGCCTGCGTGCACACCGTTTTGTCTCGTGTTGTTTGCGTGCATGTATTCGAAAAAGACCTCGAAACGAGAGTTTCTCATTTTGTTGCCATCCCTCGCCCAAGTCTCTTTCGACCTACAGTCTACTACTGTCTTTTGCTGAGGCGCTGCAAACGTACGGTCCGCGTTCGCGAAGAGGGAATCTGCGGTGCGCTCTTCCAGTGTCTTCTTTGGCGAGCGAGACTTGGCAGTCCCCTTTTCTCTAGTCAGCATTTGTATGGTCACGAACAAGCGTATTTTAAGTGTACCGTCACACCGCGATTTGAGCACACGAGCTTGACCATCCGATCAGGCGCGTACGGGTAGGCCACGGCGCGTGCGCGCGGAGGGAGGGGGGGGGGGGGGGGGGGGGG